AACCTGAATCCTCTTGTTCTGACCAATATCCCAATCGTTTGTCGAATACCTTCCGGTCGCTCATCGGTCCATGTTGAGCCGTTTGAAAAATGTTCTGTTGATCATCTAGAAAATTGGGTGATGTGTGCAAACACCGCATGACACTTGCTTGTAACTGTAGTTATGTCTCTGATAAGAATGGTTGACGATATGATTGAACTCTTTTCTATGGTGATCTTTGACTGGGGATATGTTCATGCCAAAAATTCGTGTGGGGGCCTATATATGAACGTGGGTTAAAGCGAGGATACATAATCTGATTAAACCTAGTTTGAATTTGCTGACAATAATGGGGATGCGACCCCAAAGATCATTCCAAAGATAAACACAAACATTTATTTGTGTAAACACGTGGCACAGAGTGGCGCTAAAGACCCTGAAAAAATCAACCTTTGGGTTAATTACATCAAGTGCAAGAAAAGTCTAAAATTTTGAAGGGGGGGCGTTTGAAATTGTAACTTCTCAGATATGCATACTTACCAACGACTCCAACATTAATAGCCATTTTAAAGCCTGCAGTCCTACAATAATTCCGCAATAAATTCATCAACATCTCAGCTCCCAGACAATGACTAGATTTGTATAGTTCATCAGTTATACTACTTATATCTAGTTTAGATTGTGACTAAAAAAAAAAAAAAAAAAATCACCTTAATCAAAATATCAACTAAATATAACATACAGCATAGACCTAAATCTTATAGTATATATATATATATTTTAATAATTCGAAATTTCATTAGGGTTGATTATTCTTCAGACTAGCAGGTTAGCTTAACTTCTGAAATATTTAACCTACATTAAGAAACATAAATGACAAGTTTTAATAACATCCTTGGCCTTTAAGAATATTGCGTTCTATGGTGTACACATTTTCTGATTTTATAAAATAAGTCAATAAAGAAAGTATGTTTTTACACTTACAAGATTTTCTATTTGAGACTGTGTTGAAGCCTTGATAGGTAGTGTCGGAAACTCATTACGTAAATATTTCAGCCAAGCTTCTACATTCTCTCTTGGTACTAAATCTACAAAATAAGGCATTTCTTTAGAAGCTAACTAAATCTTTCATATCGAAATATTTCTTATTTTTGTTGGTAATTAAAATAAAACCAAAATCTTATGATGTAAGAATATCCCCTTCATAATAATATACTTTTTTTATCCCACGGAATTATTCCAAGATATATTTGAATAACCAGATGCAAGATTTTCAGTTACTAAATGTTTTTCGATTCTTTGATTTTCAACAGGGTTCATCCTTGGGGGATAACCACCTAGTTTCGTCAAAATCTGTCAAGAATTGTGTCTTCTAGAGTGTTTACAAGCTTAAAATTGAACAAGTTTTCAAGAACAAGGGCAATAACTATACAATTTCATGTGGGCGTATAAAAATGATGGGTAGAAAAGACTGGAATAACTAGTTTCTATTAAACACATACCTATTTTATTAAGAAGTAGGACTAGTTTTTTATTGGTACCAGATGATAAAACAGACTGTTCTACTTCATGACATCTACTACCTAGAGGATCTCTAGCATCTAAAACTTCTAATATCACATCAGCTTTATCTACAACCTAGCATCAAGACAAGAATTAAATCAAATTATTATTCTTTAGAACTCATGTCATCCAGACCACAATCATTGATTATACACAATATTCCCAGTGACAAAAAAAAAAACATATTTGAAAATTTTTCCTTCTTGAGTGGGCACGCCCTCCAAAATTTAAAAAATCTTTCCAGTAAAAGATGGAAGTTATTTCCTATATCAAAATTCTGTAAAAGTGCTTTTCCTGGATCTTTATGTTTATGCATGAACTCAGATAAAAGGCACCCATTAACTTCCTTTTTTAGCCAGAACCAATTTGAGGAATTCCTCACCCCATCATGAAGACATTAATAAACTGGTATCTAGTAAATCTAGTTTTATAGAAATTCATTTTGTTTTGTATAAAAAAACAAATCAATATTAACCCATACCTTACGAAATTCCTTATAAAAACATTTCAAAGAATTTTCCAGTGGTTTACCACCATTTTGAGAGGATGTATTCTTAGGCTGAGTAGCTTTCTTGTTTTCAAAAACTTTTTGTTTCTTCAATGCCTCTTGAACCAGCGTGTCTAAATTTCTTTTCTTATTTCTTAATTTCTCTCTCTCAAATTTTCTTCTCTCTTTCTGCCTTTCTTTTTCTTGTTCTTGCTGAAAATGTAAATTTTTAACTACTGCAATCAGGACTGAAAGGACATCATGTAACCATTGTGTGTGCAATCAGGACTGAAAGGGCATCATGTAACCATTGTGAGTGCAATCAGGACTGAAAGGACATCATGTAACCATTGTGAGTGCAATCAGGACTGAAAGGACATCATGTAACCATTGTGAGTGCAATCAGGACTGAAAGGACATCATGTAACCATTGTGAGTGCAATCAGGACTGCTCTAATATTTAATATATTATTGATAATAGTATTAATTTGTAAATACAATTAACAAATTGTTGACCATGCCCCTTATATTTACACTAGCCAATCAACATTTTTGCTTTAAACACGTCATACATCTAGGTGACATCACCCCAAACACGTGGATGAAGGTTGTCTGATTGTTGACGTTATTTTGACACGACTTTCAGGGATTTCAGTTGTGGAGAAAAGATGCGTTTATGGAATTTGTGAGTCCTATCTAGCGCACTTGAGATTAAAATCAGGATTCTAGTCGTTGACCACTCATGTGCCCACACCTTAAAGTGGTAGAATTAATCAAATAGTTTGCTTAACTTGAGACTAAAAAATAAGGAAATCCATCTTTAATAAGTAATAAATCTGAAGCTTAAGTAATTTGAACATGGTTTTGAACTAAAAAATAACTTTAGGTGGATTATCACCCACATTATACCTGTAATTTTCGCTTCTCAGCCTCCTTCAATATCAATTCTTTATCTGGTAACGAGTTTGGTATTCCAGGGTCTTTTTTTCCTGTAATAGGTCAATAACTGTTCAGTGGTTTAAAAGTATTTACTTTCTACCTCTTAGAATGAACATAAAAATCAAATTCTCAAACTTCAATAGTTCAAAGCAAATACTATTTAGATGACCAGGATTGAATTCTATATTTTACATTTCATGATTGTAACAATCAACTGAATAATTTCCATATATCTTTAACATTTACCTTTTTTAAGATGTGGATTTTTCTTGGCTGCTTTCTTTAGTTTTTTCTTATGTTCTTTGACCTAAAAAATACCTGATTTAGTGACACATCCCTGGTTTGAAATGAAGTTTCAACAAAATGAGGCTAAACTTCTGCTGTTGTCATATTAGTCAGTAAAATAAACACCTAATTAACATAAATAATAACTTTTTACCTTCTTTTTAACTTTCACTTCCATTCGTAAAGATCTCACTTTACTCTTCTTTTCTACAAAATTCAAAAATGAAATACGTTTTTTCACTAACTTTTCTGATCTATTTCTCTATATACCTGGTGAGAATAAGTAGTCAAGTTGAGTTGTTTTCGAGTATGAGTTCTTAAAAATAAATTTTATTTTGTTACCGTTTTAACACGTTACAGTTTTAATCAAAATATCTTGTTACTGTTTTGGTAGATCTGTTACTGTTTTGACTATTAAAATTTGTTACAGCATTGACATGTTACCGTTTTAACTGGATACCACTGCATCATATTCTGGATATATTCCACATCTCTCTACATTTCTATACATTTCATTTGAAATGACAATATATATATTGTATAACTTACTATGCATTTTGCTGTTAGCCATTTTATGAAGTTAAAATCGTATCTGTTATTATAATGACAGACACTTCTTTCCAAAAATTTTCAGTTAAACACACGTGCTTTATCCCAGAATTCAATATTCGTCAACATCCGGTCAAAAAACAATTCCGGCAATCATCGACAGTTTCCGTAATACTGAATCTGACTCGGCTACGAATAGTGTCGTCAAGGGAAGGGGGAAGAAGGGGGAAGGGGGATGACATATTTCATGAGTAACCAACTCGACAACAGTGGCAGAATGCGTCACCTATTTTCGTGTACAATGTTTGATTTATAAATGATAGTTTGAGTAGTTACTATTTATACATGATCTGGTTACGCTTTGAGAGTAGTCACGTGACATATCTATCTTGACCTCAATGGCGGCGTTTTGAAAGAAATGTTGAATTAAAAATATCTTTTCCTATCCTACGTGTCGATTATTATGATTTAGATGTGAGTATCCAATTTCTATAGCATTTAAACTACAGTTCAACACATCAAATGTATTTTAGCCATTGAGTCGATCATCCATTGTCATTTCACAAGATGTAATAAAAATTATCGTATGTTGGTTTGCACCGGTTGCTTTTCATCCACTTCCTCTGATTCTATTTCCTTTGTTTTGTTTTCTTCTGTAGAAAATTAAAATCGATATATCACTATTTGAAAATTCCAACTCGGATAGGCTATAATCCACATAGGCCTTTATCACTTACTGTCTGCCTACATTGTGCCTTGAATTTCATTTTTTCTCTCATTTGATAAATATTCAAAATAAAATTTTAAACTTTATGCCATTGGTCTTAGAATGTCTTTGGATCCATAGAAATAAAAGGTTTCCGTACTAGTATGTTAAATCATGTTTACTAAAATAACTTTTACACTACAGTGGTTAACATTTTCATCAACCCAAAGAGAATCTAAAACTCTCAGAGAATCAACCTCCAAACAGTACAGTCAAGTAACCTAATTTTGTGCTTACCTATTTTTCGTGTATCTCTAGCAATTAGACTAATAATAATAAACTCTCTATTTTACTTTGGTCAGAAAAAGTTTCAATCTACAAGGACATTGTCCTGTCTAACATTCAGCACTAGGGGCAATTATAAATACATGTAATGGTTAAATCTAATTTATGACTAAAATTTTATTCAGATTAAGGTTTGATAGAACCGAGATGCCTGCTAAAAGGAAAAGAAGTTTGGCACCTGGTGCTGATGGTAAAGTAGATGAAAGAGAAGAATCTCCTGCTCCTGTTGTTAAAAAAAGGAAGAAAATACTCCATTATGATCCAGTAAGACTTTACACAATTTTGATAGTAGAACATCATTTCTTCTTGGTTAATTTCATATTTGTATGATATTTGTTATCATCAACATTACCATTACTGTGACAAGTAAAGACTTTTTCATCAAAGATGCTGCCAGTTGTATCTCTAATTGTAATTTATTGTTTAAACTGTTCAGAATGTGGAATTCAATATATGACACAAACTGTAACTTTATTTAGTGCAAGACTAAACTGAAAATAAGGGAACCCATCTTTAAGTCATTAAAAATATATCTCTAATTATTTGATGTTGATTATTTTTTAGGTAGAGATATGTCAAGAGTTATATGATATAATAAGAAATCATAAAACAGAAGACAGTAGATTATTGTGTGAAACATTTATTCGTGCACCAAAAAGAAGGTTGTTAATTTTTATAAATGATTTTGTTTCTTCCCTTGACAAAACGTGAAAATATGCAAAAAATATACCATATGACTTATTTTTAGATTGTAAACTGTTTCTATTTATGAAACAACCATAAATATAAATGATCACACCCAATTTTCCCATCTGTCTTTACACAATTGCCTGTAAACACTCTAGAAGTATTATTTATAAAACAATATATTATTTATAAAACCATGTATTATTTATAAAACAATGTATTATTTATAAAACAATGTATTATTTATAAAACAATGTATTATTTATAAAACAATGTATTATTTATAAAACAATGTATTATTTATAAAACAATGTATTATTTATAAAACAATGTATTATATATAAAACAATGTATTATTTATAAAACCATGTATTATATATAAAACAATGTATTATTTATAAAACCATGTATTATTTATAAAACAATGTATTATTTATAAAACCATGTATTATCTATAAAACAATGTATTATTTATAAAACAATGTATTATCTATAAAACAATGTATTATTTATAAAACAATGTATTATCTATAAAACAATGTATTATTTATAAAACAATGTATTATTTATAAAACCATGTATTATATATAAAACAATGTATTATTTATAAAACAATGTATTATATATAAAACCATGTATTATCTTTAAAACAATGTATTATTTATAAAACAATGTATTATCTATAAAACAATGTATTATTTATAAAACAATGTATTATCTATAAAACAATGTATTATTTATAAAACAATGTATTATTTATAAAACAATGTATTATTTATAAATTTCTGAACTATTGTATAATTAAGAAATGAAATGAGTATATAACTTGTAGCTAAAAACATTCATTTTTTATTATCTTTCAGGACGGCTGCTGACTATTATGAAGTAGTTACTACTCCAATAGACTTATTAAAGATACAACAGAAACTAAAAACAGAGGAATATGATGATATAGATCAGTTAACAAGTGATGTAGAATTATTAGTTAAAAATGCCAAGGCTTATTATAAGGTAGGTTATGGTTTGATTCATCAAGATAATTATTATTATTATAGTCAGTCTGATTTCTTATTTTTCTGTATACATACATATATATCATACATGTGTAATCTACTGATATTGTCAGGTTCTACTGCTTTTGTATGTTGTCTACCACTCTGCTGATGGGATGCCCAATTAAACAACACTATGTGCCCTCAAACCCGTTAATAAAAACAATTTTGAATGTTGTAGAAAGACAGTCAGGAATATAATGATGCAGAAGAATTATACAATCTTTATGATACATCAAGAAATGATCTTCTTGCTGAAGCTTTTGGTGTAGGGGAAGCTGAGGATACCAAAAATGAGGAGGCCATGGATGAAGAAGATGATAAACTTGAAGATGTAAATAAAATAATTCTTATTGATAGGAAAAAGATTATTACACAATTTGTGAACTATCTAAAGTTAATTATATCAATACTTCTCTTATAAACTATAAATTTTCAAAATATTTCACTATTAGTTTTATTAGTAGTTTTATATTTTCCATCTTGTATATTTGACATTTCTATTTAACAACACTGTTTCTCAGGAATATCTTTCCTTGTCTTTCAAGTTAAATATATTTATTGTTTATTTCTGTAGAAAGAAGAGGAGAAGGCGGATGCTGATGATTTAGAGGCTTTATTTGGTGTTGTTGTAACAGCTAGAGAAGATGACCGAGACTTATCATTAATCTTTCAACTATTACCAGCTGCTTCTGTAAGTTACATTTCTCATTCAATATTATACATTGCCATTCCGTGTCACGTGAAGAATATTTATCAAGATGATATGAAATTGATTGATGTCACGTATGTTAAAAAATTGTTTTAATGTTATCATAAAAAAACAAAACATCAAAATAATTCTCACCCTGAATAAGGGTATATACCCTGAAAAGTCACAAAAACAGAAAAAAGTCAGATTAAATATCAATATCGTTCAGACAACAGATTCAAATATTTTACTTCATATTTGCAAAGACAATTTAAATTCCGGCCTTTTTAAAGAAGAAATAGTAATAAAATATAAAAATACTCTTATCTGAATGATAATTTTTATTTTACTGGCTTTTTCTGTTTTTGTGACTTTTGAGTTATACCACACTTTATTACCTCAAATAATGTTTATGATTGAAGGTTAAATATTTTCTACTGGTAATTATTCTTGTACTGCCAAGCTATCTTTATTATATTTTTTACTATTTCTTGTTTTTTCTGATTTAAGAGATATCCAGATTATTATGAAGTGATTAAAGATCCAATAGATTTACGTATGATAGGACAGAAAATACAGAATAATGAATATAAAACTTTAGCTGATTTGGAGAAAGATTTATTATTGATGTTAAAGAATGCTAAAACATTTAATACACCTAAATCACAGATATACAAGGTATGTTATATAATTCAAAACACAACCAGCAAAATCAGACTTTAGTTATATTAAATATTAGAGATGCCAACCATAATGCTGTTAATATGTTATTTAGATGATCTTGACTACAATCTACAATGTGCAGGTCTAAAAATTTAAGCTTCTTCGAATGCCATTTGTCCAAAGTCTCCTGGAAACACAAACTGTCGAGGCTTGTTGGATTTACAAGAGATTTTGTTGATACTTTCCATGTGATAATTTGAGAGATAATGCTGACAATTACAAATACATTTAATACCACACCTAGTATCTATTATTATTATTATTTATTATTATTATTGCACCTCTATAGTTGTCTTATATTTTTTTTTCTGTAGGACTCAATGACACTGAGAAAATTAATTATTGCTAAACGCCATGAACTGGAACATAAACAGAAAGTAACATCAAAATCAGAACGGTTAAATCTCAGGTAAGTGAAATCTGACACTAGAATCTGAGATCAAATTAACTATGAAATCTGACACTAAAATCTGAGATCAAATTAACTGTGAAATCTGAATTCTGTATTTGAAAGGTAAAACATCATGTCAAATCAGTATATATATTTAATAGACTCAAACCCTAATTGAAATCAGATTTCACAAGTTGTTAAGTAATGTGGAGTTGTCAAGAAAATAGATAACAGCCCTGTCATACATTATGGTATAAATTATATATTATATTTATCTAAAACTTGTAAAATTTGATTATAATCCACACATACCCCATCATTTTACAGAACGCGTGAGAAATGTCCAATACAAAAGATGTCTGCTATCTGTGCTCAGTTAACGTATCCTAGTGATGATGAAAGTGATATTGGTACTGTTGATATGAATACATCTCAAATAGATTATGATTCGGAAGCAGATACAACAGTTTCTGATGATGAGAATCCACAATGGGCATTATACAATACAATACGTAATTATCAAACAGTTGATGGAGATTTATCACTTCCATTTCTTAAATTGCCTAATAAGAGGTATGTTTATTGTTTTCAGAATAAATTTAATATAATGAAATAAAATGTTGTTAACCTTGTTATAGAAAAACAATAAATCTAGATGAAATCTTGAGTGATATATATATATATTATAAAGTTTGATAAGGTGATATATATATATATTATAAAGTTTGATAAGGTGATATATATATATTATAAAGTTTGATAAGGTGATATATATATATTATAAAGTTTGATAAGGTGATATATATATATTATAAAGTTTGATAAGGTGATATATATATATTATAAAGTTTGATAAGGTGATATATATATATTATAAAGTTTGATAAGGTGATATATATATATATATTATAAAGTTTGATAAGGTGATATATATATATTATAAAGTTTGATAAGGTGATATATATATATATATATTATAAAGTTTGATAAGGTGTATATATATATATTATAAAGTTTGATAAGGTAGATATATATATATTATAAAGTTTGATAAGGTGATATATATATATATATTATAAAGTTTGATAAGGTGATATATATATATATATTATAAAGTTTGATAAAGTGATATATATATATATTATGAAGTTGGATACTCTGAAACTTGTTGTTTTATTGTAGAATATATAGAGATTATTATGAAGAAATTAAGAGACCCATATCATTATTTCAAATTCGAAAGAAATTGAAGGTATTTCTTTTTATAACTTGATTGTTTTATTCCACACTGTGACTATATAGAAAAGGTATAAAATATTACACGGATAATTCAACACACTTTCAAATCTTAACCAATTATTGATGTGGATATTTTTATACACCCACATGAAATCACACAACTATGAAGTCTAATAAAAATAAAAAAAATAAAAAATATTTAGTATGAGTTATTACCCTTGTACTTGAAATGATTGTAAACACTGTAGAAGGCACAATTCTTGGTGGATTTAGACACAACTTGGTAATATTATCCGGTGTTGCCCTAAAACGTTTAGAAGAAGTGTATGACTGAAGGTTGAATATTACATACTGGTGATTGTTAATATACTGCCAAATATTTTTATTTAAAATAGAAGCTGCCAGTGTGTGTAAATGACCTTGCCAGGCTATCTTGGTAGTCTAATGCCACTGCCCTGACAATTTCCCTCATTGCACATGGCATGGTGTTGTCTGCCTTCATTAACCCAATTAGCTGTTACAGAAAAGTAGGATGTAAAACTCTATTTGTTATTTGATATATTTTCAGCAAAGACAATACAGTAGTTTGAGTGAATTAGCATCTGATATGAATTTAATGTTTGAAAATGCTAAAAGATATAATATGGCTCAATCAAGATTATATAAAGTAAATATTTTATATAATATCTGGGTATAAAATTTGAAAAATTTCCTCAGATTGTATTTTTATATGCCCACATCAAATTGTTACTATACTGCTAAATATTTTTATTTCTATATGTATTAAAGAGAAATCATCATGAAATGAATTATAGTAATCTATGAAAACTGAAGATTGTATTAGCTGTGATTATTTGTAATTAATCTTGGCATCTTGTTTTAAATATCATAATAGTGATATTAGTTCTAACTGCTATAGAGACCATTATGATGGAGGTGTTATGACTAGAATTACAATATCATGTTGATTATAGGATGCTGTAATTCTACAGAAAGCAATGATGGAAAGAAAGAGGGAATTAGATAAATTTGATGTTAAGGTTGGATTTCATTTTATTAACTTGACTGAAGGGTGTTATTGTGGCCAGCGTTCGAGGTTTGAACAGGCCTGTTGCTCTGTTGTATTCACAAATGGAAAAAGAAAATGCGTGTGTGGAAGTTTTTGGAACCTGAGATATTAGCGATCTAATCATTAATTGATATATATAGAGACATTCTGAGTTAATTTATGTCATTGCATGTTGCAAGTCTAAACACTGGAATTGCAAGATGATAATAAAACAAGACAGTGAAATCTGAAGGTTGTCCGAACTGTTGTATACACACCAGTTATTTAATTCATTATTTTTGAGTCTAGAATGCAGATAATTAATATTAATTTTAATTGAGTAGAAAAATCTACCCTGGTTAACGTAATATTATTTAGCCATATGTGAAGCAA